GAGAATCGCCAAAGCCCAAGAGCTGGAGATTGCTGTGAGCTGTGACATCAAGCACTCTACCGAGGGCAACAAAGTGAGACTCTGTCTCTTAAAAAAAAAAAAAAAAGAAGTGTAATGTAATGGCAAGTCTTAAACTCAAGATCCTCATAACCAAATCACCTTACCTCTCTAGTTGTCTTTTTTTTTTCAATTGCAAAAATAAGATAATTAGACTAAAGAATTTCTTCCAGTTCTAAAAATCAGATTCTTTCCTAAAACAGGTCTCTTAGGTCTTTGAAGAATGACCATCCTCATACCTCTTTGCAAAGTAGTATTTTTTACCTTTACTTACTCTGGTGTTGAAAATCTGAGAAACCACTTCATTTTTACCTCCCCTTCATCATGCCAGAATTTTCTCTCTAATCACTCCATTCTTCCCTCCTTTACTGCAGTTTCTCTAAGTGGGAATTAATAACATGCTTATTTAAGCTAGGTATATTGACTATACCCTCATGGCTTTATTTCTTGGGGCAGAAATGCTGTCTTCTTAAAAGAAAACAATAGATAACGTAAGTCTATTATTTTAAGTGTATTCCAATTAAGGTAGTAGCTTAAAACAAATTATGAATTTGCCCTAGTGAGGAAGCTTCATATCTGTTTTACATGGTACTGATTATAGTAGTTAGACTTGACGTTAAAAGAATCTACTCCGGCATGGCTCCTTCACGTACTTGGCAAGTTGGTGCAAGATGTCATCGGGAAGCTCGGGCAGGGGCGTTGTTCTTCTCCACATGGACTTTTCCATGAGGATGTCTTCACAGCCTGCTTGTTTTTTCTTACAGCAGGGTGGCTGGGTTCTAAGCACAAGATTTCAAGAAACAGGAAATAAGGACCAGTGTCTTATCAACAGGCAAATTATTTTAATAAAAAAAGTTTTCAGTACCTACTGTATGCAGAGCACTGTGGAATATAGAGGGATTTACAGATGAGTAGAACAAAGTACAGGATCTATTTGCATTTGGGGTGGACAGTTCTGTTGAGACAGTGCTGAGGACAGTACTGAAAATGAGTAGACATGTGCTTCAGTAATGCTGTGGAGTGAATGAAGGGGTGGAGAGGCCGGGAGTGCTGAGTGTACAATTGAAAATAAACAGACCCAGAATTTCAAGCCAGAGTGTTGCTTGTGTAGTATATGTACCATGTGAATCATCTGTTACATCCAGGAAAGACTTTCTCATTTCCTTTCTTGTTGTTTCTTCGTTAGTCAGCCCCCCACCCCCACGCCAGGAAATGTTTATTAAAGGTCACCTGCTTTGTGTTCTGTACTAACTAAATTCTGTGGAACATATAAAAATATGAGAGTTGTCTTCAGTTTTTTTCTCCCATTCCACCCAAAAGAATTTGGAAAAGCTGTATACCCCCTTATACATCTATAAGTTAGTATTTAAATATTTTATCTTAAGTATAAATAATTGCATTAAATAATGTAATTTCCAGTGTATTCCATTAACATTTAGAATAAGGCTGCTATAGCCCTCTTTTTAAAATGTATCCAGTAATC